AGTAGGCTGAGAAGTGCGTTCTGGCAACTAGGTACGATATATATATATATATATATATATATATATATATATATATATAACTGAAAACTCACACCCCAGAAGTGACTCGAACCCATACTCCCAGAAGCAACGCAACTGGTATGTACAAGACGCCTTAATCCACTTGACCATCACGACCGGACATAATGAGGTGATAGCCGAGGCTATATGAACCACCCCACCGCCGGCACTCGGATAGTTTATCTTGGGCATAGCATTTTACCAAATCACCTCATTCTTTGGGGAACACGTGAGGAACACAAAAAGAGGAACTTTTGTGTTCCTCACGTGTTCCCCAAGAATGAGGTGATTTGGTAAAATGCTATGCCAAGATAACTATCCGAGTGCCGGCGGTGGGGTGGTTCATATAGCCTCGGCTATCACCTCATTATGTCCGGTCGTGATGGTCAAGTGGATTAAGGCGTCTGTACATACCAGTTGCGTTGCTTCTGGGAGTATGGGTTCGAGTCACTTCTGGGTGTGAGTTTTCAGTTGCATATGTCCTGGGGACCATTCAGGCTTGTTCGCATATATATATATATATATATATATGTCGTACCTAGTAGCCAGAACGCACTTCTCAGCCTACTATTCAAGGCCCGATTTGCCTAATAAGCCAAGTTTTCCTGAAATATTTTTTTTTCGACTACCTACCCTATGAAACCTAACCTAACTTTTTCGGCTACCTAACCTAACCTAACCTATTTTTATTGGTTAGGTAAGGTTAGGTAGGGTTGGTTCCGAACGGTAATATATCTACGTAATTTAACCTCCAATAAAAAAATTGACCTCATAGCATAATGAAATGGGTTAGCTTTAGGTTTCATAGGTTAAAAATTAGAGAAAATATATTAATTCATGAAAACTTGGCTTATTAGGCAAATCGGGCCTTGCATAGTAGGCTGAGAAGTGCATTCTGGCTACTAGGTACGACATATATATATATATATATATATATATATATATATATATATATATATATATATATATATATATATATATATATATATATATATATATATATATATATATATATATATATATGTCGTACCTAGTAGCCAGAACGCACTTCTCAGCCTACTATGCAAGGCCCGATTTGCCTAATAAGCCAAGTTTTCCTGAATTAATATATTTTCTCTAATGTTTTTCTTATGAAATGATAAAGCTACCCATTTCATTATGTATTAGGTCAATTTTTTTTTATTGTAGTTAAAATTAACGTAGATATATGACCGAACCTAACCAACCCTACCTAACCTAACCTAACCTATCTTTATAGGTTAGGTTAGGTTAGGTAGCCGAAAAAGGTTAGGTTAGGTTAGGTAGGTTAGGTAGTCGAAAAAAAAATTCATGATTGGCTTATTAGGCATGGCCTTGCAAAGAAGTTGGCTTATTAGGCAAATTCTCAGCCTACTATGGGCCTTGCATAAGTAGGCTGAGAAGTGCGTTCTGGCTACTAGGTACGACATAATTAGAGAAAATATATATATGGCTTATTATATAGTAGGCCGAGAAGTGCATTCTGGCTACTATACGACATATATATATATATATATATATATATATATATATATATATATGTCGTACCTAGTAGCCAGAACTCACTTCTCAGCCTACTATGCAAGGCCCGATTTGCCTAATAAGCCAAGTTTTCATGAATTAATGTTTTTTCGACAACCTAACCTACCTAACCTAACCTAACCTAACTTTTTCGGCTACCTAACCTAACCTAACCTATAAAGATAGGTTAGGTTAGGTTAGGTAGGGTTGGTTAGGTTCGGTCATATATCTACGTTAATTTTAACTCCAATAAAAAAAAATTGACCTCATACATAATGAAATGGGTAGCTTTATCATTTCATAAGAAAAAAATTAGAGAAAATATATTAATTCAGGAAAACTTGGCTTATTAGGCAAATCGGGCCTTGAATAGTAGGCCAAAAAGTGAGTTCTGGCTACTAGGTACGACATATATATATATATATATATATATATATATATATATATATATATATATATATATATATATATATATATATATATATATATATATATATCGTACCTAGTAGCCAGAACGCACTTCTCAGCCTACTATGCAAGGCCCGATTTGCCTAATAAGCCAAGTTTTCATGAATTAATGTTTTTTCGACTACCTAACCTACCTAACCTAACCTAACTTTTTTTCGGCTACCTAACCTAACTTTTTTTTCGGCTACCTAACCTAACCTAATCTATAAAGATAGGTTAGGTTAGGTTAGGTAGGGTTGGTTAGGTTCGGTCATATATCTACCTTAATTTTATCTCCAATAAAAAAAATTGATCTCATACATAATGAAATGGGTAGCTTTATCACTTCGTAAGAAAAAAATTAGAGAAAAATATATTAATTCAGGAAAACTTGGCTTATTAGGCAAATCGGGCCTTGCATAGTAGGCTGAGAAGTGCATTCTGGCTACTAGGTACGACATATATATATATATATATATATATATATACATATATATATACATATATATATACATGTCGTACCTAGTGTACGACATGTACCTAGCTTCTGTAGTTGCCTCGATTCTTTCCTCCTTCCGCAATAAGTTCTGCTTGTAAGGTATCTTTGGTAGTGACCTTCTTTTGTGTCTCGAGGTCGAATATATCGCCCAACAGAATTTCTAACTCCACTTTCCGGGCCATCTCACTCGGTCGGGACATAACGTGGACATAACATGACGTGTTATATCCAGACCGAGTGAGATGGCCCGGAAAGTGGAGTTGGAAATTCTGTTGGACGACATATTCGACCTCGAGACACAAAAGAAGGTCACTACCAAAGATACCTTACAAGCAGAACTTATTGCGGAAGGAGGAAAGAATCGAGGCAACTACAGAAGCACCATACTGTCCCCCGAGCTCAAAGCGGCAGCTAAGAGCCTTCGTGAGAACAAGGAGATAGTTGTCAGGAGAGGTGACAAGTCGCCAATATACGTCATTCTTAAAAAAACGAATATCTGGCGAAAATGAACCTCATACTCTCTGACCAAACTAAATTCCAAAGGGTAACGAAGGACACTACAGCCGAATTGAAAGCAAAGGTCAACAAACTGATCGAAACTGTGAATGCCAAGAAATCCGGACTCCACCTGCCAAAGATTATTGGGGAATATAAACCTGGATATGCGTATGGAAATGTGAAGACACACAAGCCTGGAAACCCACTTCGGCCAATCATTAGCCAGATATCCACACCCACGTACAGACTGGCGAAGGGACTCAACGACCTGTTGACTCCTTATGTCCCTTGCGCCTTCAGCCTGAAGTCTCCAAAGGAATTTGTTGACTTACTGCGGGGCACACGGGCCACAGGGATAAGAGCCTCGTTGGACGTAGAATCACTGTTTACCAACGTACCTGTGGACGAGACAATCGGGATGATAGCCAACAGAGTGTATCGTGATCCGGCCTGCATTCCTCTTGACATACCAGAAAACATTCTAAGGAATCTACTCCAAGCTTGTACTAAAGAGGCACCCTTCTTGAGCCCGGATGGGCACATGTATAAGCAAGTAGATGGGGTCGCCATGGGTTCCCCCCTAGGTGTCCTGTTTGCAAACTTCTACATGGGTACCATCGAGCAAAAAGTCTTAGTCGAAATGAACTTGAAACCGGCCATATACTGCAGGTATGTTGACGACATTTTTACACTGGTACCTGATGTCAGACATCTGCAGCAGCTGAAGGAGGCATTTGAGCAGAGTTCCGTGCTGCGTTTCACTTACGAGATGGAAAAGGATGGGAAGCTGCCCTTTCTAGATGTGAAGGTTTCTGCCAGCCAATATTCTCAGCACTATTTACTAATTTTTTGTCTTGCTAATTGTAGAGTAACGTAACATTATTTTATTTTATATTGTGTTTTTGTCTTTGTTTTGATCAGCACTGTATATAACCAAGGGATTATCTTTTTGTTTCTGTTTGTTTAAAGTAAATTTAAGTTTCATTATTTATAAGATTTGTTTTGCGTATTTTTCCCTCTCACTTTACCACAGGATGACAACCGCCAAGCAGTCAACATTTTTTTTTTCTCTTTTTTTTTCTTATGTGAATGGCATTTCCACCAGCCATAGAGAAGACTGCCTTAACACCTACATTTCTCGTCACATTAATTAATGGGGGCCTGTCCGAGGAGCTTCACTCAGTTACTGATAGTAGACCAGTCATTTCAATTTGTGATAAGTGTACTTGGCTTTGTTACACGTTGCTTTTTCACTAATTTCATAACTTTCAATAATTTTTATAGTGCTGTGTATTTTGTGCTTTCCGAGTGTAACATTTATGAGTGTTAGATGATTGCAGATTACGTGGTGTCTGTTGGCCACAGTCACTCTCTTAACTTGTTGTTCATCCCTCGGTGTTATTACTCGTGTATTCTACCTTTTTCGTCCCCAGAATATATCTCATTTAAGCAGATCACCCCCACTTTAGTACCCTGGTACATTGGTTTGTCTTCGGGACACGTACCTTATCTTCTGCAATCCGACCGAAGGAGGATATAGAGGGCCATAGTTCCTCTCGCACGGACTACACTGTTGAAGTGGGACCTCAACAGCAGTTCTCGTCACCAGTTGACACTCGCACCCCTACGCGTCGGTCAGAGATTATGATACTTACCCAGGTAGGGAATTGGCATTCTTTTTCAGAGCACAAAGAACGCAAATTCTGTAAGAGTCATCTAGTTAAGTAGGAAATCCCTTGTTTCTGTCCTATGGAGACCCGGCAAGGTATCCCAACGTTTTTGGACTACCTTTCACTTTTGAAACTATCACGTTTCATTTATTTTAGTAAGATTTTCTTGCCCTTATTCTCGTATATTGAGTACCGGGTACAAGATTTCCCTGCGTTTTGATTATTTAATCCTTTAACATCTAATATTAACGTTAATTGTTTTCACATTAACAATTGAATTCCCACAGGATAGTCACCAGATGCCACGTCATCCTATTACTAACACTTATGATACCACAGGTACATTCTTTATACGTCTGTTTGATATCTCAAAATGTTTCGTCTCTCAGCATTTCGTAGTGACCCAGCAAATGAATTAGGGAACTTAATTCGTGCCAAGAGGGCAGAATTACAAACTCTAGCACATGAGTACTAACTAGATGTTCCCCATGGAGCCAACAAAAGTGAATTGCATAACCTTATCCTTGACCACCTTTTTGATAATGGAATTATAGGCTCTGATTCTCACGAAAACTATTCCATTGCAGATCGGCATACTCTGGCAGCTATGAAGTTAAAGATAGAACTAGCGAAAGTAGAGCGTGAACAACAAAAAGAAGATTCCAGAAGGAACAGGCTGCCCTAAAGAAAGAAGAACAGGAACGTGAGGGTGCCCTTAAGAAAGAAGAACAGGAAAGCGAGGCTGCCCTAAAGAAAGAAGAACAGGAAAGCGAGGCTGCCCTAAAGAAAGAAGAACAGGAACGCGAGGCTGCCCTAAAGAAAGAAGAACAAGAACGCGAGGCTGCCCTAAAGAAATAAGAACAGGAAAGCGAGGCTGCCCTAAAGAAAGGAAGAACAGGAACGTGAGGCTGCCCTTAAGAAAGAAGAACAGGAACGCGAGGCTGCCCTAAAGAAAGAAGAACAGGAACGCGAGGCTGCCCTAAAGAAAGAAGAACAGGAACACGAGGCTGCTCTAAAGAAATAAGAACAGGCGAGGCTGCCCTAAAGAAAGAAGAACAAGAACGCGAGGCTGCCCTAAAGAAAGAAGAACAGGAACGCGAGGCTGCCCTAAAGAAAGAAGAACAGGAACGCGAGGCTGCCCTAAAGAAAGAAGAACAAGAACGCGAGGCTGCCCTAAAGAAAGAAGAACAAGAACGCGAGGCTGCCCTAAAGAAAGAAGAACAGGAACGCGAGGCTGCCCTAAAGAAAGAAGAACAAGAACGCGAGGCTGCCCTAAAGAAAGAAGAACAGGAACGCAAGGCTGCCTTAAGGAAAGAAGAACAGGAACGCGAGGCTGCCCTAAAGAAAGAAGAACAAGAACGCGAGGCTGCCCTAAAGTAAGAACAGGAACGCGAGGCTGCTCTAAAAGAACGCCAAGCAGCCCTACAACGTGAGCAGGTTGCATTAAGAAAACGTGATCTGGAGATACAACGTGAACACGATAAGAAGCAAGCCGATAATGCTCTAGAATACCGTAGAAGAGAACTCGACTTGGAAATAGCACACCTCACTCGGCGCCAACAAACAGCCAGTCCTCCAGCAAGCTTTAGCATCTTCCAGGCAAGTAAGTTAATGCCACCATTCGTTGAGACAGAGATAGGTGTGTTTTTTACTACTTTTGAGGCCCTAGCTAAAATGCTTAGCTGGCCTGAAGATCAATGGTCTATACTTCTCAGAGTGCATCTCACAGGTAGAGTTGCTGTTACTCTCAGTACCTTAGAGTCTGAGAATGACTACCAGACCCTAAAGCAAGCAGTTTTAGACGCCTACCTTCTCTCCACCGAAAGCTACAGACGAAAATTTCGTGATTATATAAAGGCAAGTGTCACCACCTATTTAGAATTTGCCAATACTAAGAAAAAATATTTCATGAAATGGCTGGAAGCAGCCCTTGTTTCTACATTTTCAGAACTCGTCAACCTCATTCTAGTTGAGGAATTCTTTCGACGTGTTCCTGCTCCCATCCGACTTCACTTAGCAGACAAAGAGGAAACCGACGTCATCAGATGTGTGAAGTCTGCTGACACCTACAGTCTTATACACATGTTAACAGCTGACACATCTTCCAGTGAGAAGTCTTGGTCTGATTATGACAAGGTGAGTACCAATCAAGCAAGCTCTCAATTATATTGTAAGTATTGCAAGCTCTATGGCCATACCATAGATAAATGTGGAAAAGTTCAATACAAAGGCTATAGTGAAACTCCTAAACCCAAACCGACTCCTCCTAAGTCCGGTAAGCCTATGATGAATGTTGGTGTTCCTGTTAATGGTCTTTCTCTCTTCACAGCAGAGGTCCAAGAAAGTGGTGAAGTCTCTCCTCCGGTTTTGGTAACAACCCGTGTGCAAGCTGCACGCCCGCAAACAGCTGACTCTGCTTCAACAGCTGTCCCTCAAGACCATCAGAATCTACCACCGAATCTTACTATGCTGGAGTTCCGTAAGTTGCAGAGGGAGGATCCCTCATTAACACCATTATTCTTCCAGGCCGAGACTCAATCTGATAGTATTCCTGGGATCTTTATAGAGAATCAGTTGCTCTACCGCAGGTACCGACCCAGTAAACTAGCAGAGGATGACGATTGGGCTAATGTCGATCAACTAGCAGTTCCCACCAGCCTACGGCCAAATATTCTGTATCTGGCCCATGGAGCGCTTTCTCACTACGGTTTTAATAAAACCTATCACGCCATCCGACAAGACTATTACTGGCCAGGTATGATTAAAGATGTAAAAACTTATGTACAGCAGTGTCATACATGTCAGATGGCAGGAAAACCCAACATCTCTATTCCCAAGGCTCCTTTAATTCCTATCCCGGTGCCTTTGGAACCCTTTCAGAGACTCATTATAGACTGTGTTGGTCCTTTTCCCTGGACCAGTTCCGGCAACGCTTATATACTAACCATCCTGTGTCCAACCACCAGATTCCCCATAGCAGTTCCTGTAAAGAACATTACGGCTGCTACTGTGGTGAAGCAACTGTTGAAGATCTTTACACAATATGGATTTCCACGAGAGGTTCAAAGTGACTGTGGCACCAACTTCACCAGTGATCTCTTCAAGAAGACACTGGAAGAATTCAACATCACTCAGGTATTGTCCAGCCCCTATCATCCTGCTTCACAGGGTTCTCTTGAACGTAGTCACCAAACGATAAAATCACCCCTTAAGAAATTTTGCAATGAAACTATGGAAGACTGGGATAAAAAAAACTTGACATCATCATGTGAATTTTCAGAAGTCTCCCAAATGAGTCTCTAGGAGTGTCTCCTTATGAGATGCTCTACGGACGTAAGTGCTGTACTCCTCTTAAAGCTTTTAAAGACTCTCTACATAATGCCACCTTCAGTGACCCTCTGTATGTGCCCCAGTTTCTTCAAAACTTAAAGCACCTTCTAGAGAGAGTACATAAATTTGCCAATGATAATTTATTAAAAGCTCAAGATAGGATGAAGAATCATTTTGACAAACATAGTAAAATCAGGAAATTTAAAGCAGGAGATTTCGTTTTAGCATATTTTCCGATCCCTGGTTCTCCATTGCAAAATAAGTTTTCAGAACCTTACCGCATCAAGGAGTGCAGAAATAACCACAACTACGTTCTTGAGACTCCAGATAGGCGGCGGAGGACCCAGTTGTGCCACGTCAATCTTTTGAAGAAGTATAAAGGTACACCCCCACTGTGCTAGTATCTCTCTCCACTCTTCAAGATCCATACCTCCACAGTGAGACTTTCCCTGCTTCTCCTCCCGACAACACTAACTCTGAGTCAGTGCTTTCCAACTCGGAAATTCTTGATCTTCCTAAATATTTTCAGGGCTGTAACAGTGTTCCTGTCATCAGTGTTCCAAGAACATCAGAAGTTGTTCAGCAATGATCCCCAGGAATGTAATGTGGTTCAACACGACATCCAGCTACATCCTGATACCCGGCCGATTCGTCAACCCTTCTACCGCATCAGCCCCTACAAAAAGGAAGTTATGCGTGCTGAGGTACAGTACCTTCTGGATCATGGGCTGGCCACCCCTTGTGAGTCCCCTTGGGCCTCACCCTGCATCTTGGTGGCGAAACCTCACGGTAAAGTACGATTATGTATAGACTATAGGAAACTGAATCTCGTGACCGTCAAGGATGCTTACCCTTTACCTCGTATAGATGATATCCTTGACGCAGTACGTAATGCTACTTATTTTTCCCAAATTGACTTGTTAAAGGGCTATCATCAGATTAGTCTGACAGAGCAGGCTAAGGAAATATCTGCCTTCACCACTCCTTTTGGCCTGTACAGATATGAACGCCTTCCTTTTGGACTGTGTAATGCCCCAGCCACCTTCCAGCGAGCTGTCAACCGCGTCATGCATGGTCTAGATCACACCTACGCCTACTTGGATGATATCGTTGTGGCAACTGACACCTGGAGCGAACATCTGCTCCAGCTGCAACGATTGTTCGCCAAGCTCCTGACAGCTGGCCTTACCATCAACTTGGGCAAGTCCACCTTTGCTAAAGGTAAAGTGCGTTATCTTGGTCATGTAATAGGAAGTGGAAGCCTAGCTCCTTTAGCCATTCACACTCAAGCCATTCAGCATTACCCACAACCTACAACCAGGAAGCAGCGCCTGCGCTTCCTTTGCCTTGCATCTTTCTATCGTAGGTTTGTGAAAATTTTCAGTACGGTAGCGACACCACTGATTAATCTGACCAGCCCCAAGCAATGGTATCATTGGACCATTCAACAGACCGTTGCCTTTGAACAACTCAAATCTCTGCTATGTTCTAATCCCATTCTCGCCTCTCCAGATATTACGAAGCCCTTCATCATCAATGTCGACGCAAGTGGCACCGGCATCGGGGGCGTTCTAATGCAACAGCGTGGCGAAGAGGTTCTTCCTGTCAGCTACTACAGCTACAAGTTGAAGCCTCATCAGAAGAACTATAGCACCATAGAAAAGGAACTCCTCTCCATCGTCCTGAATCTGCAACATTTCGAACCTTACCTATTGAGTAATCGGTCTATTACCATCTACTCAGACCACAATCCCCTACGATTTCTGCAACAAGCCCAATTCAGCAATCAACGTCTTCTACGCTGGGCTCTGTATCTGCAGAACTTTAACCTGGAGATCTTCTTCATTAAGGACTCGGATAACATCATAGCCGATGCCCTCTCCAGAGTCTACGAGGTAGAGGCAGCTACTCCTACCACTCTACCGTCTAATGAAGTAACTTAACCCGTAAGAGCAGGCTTCGGGGAAGAGCTGTGACAGCAATCTCTTTCAAGAGAGATTTAGCCTGCTCTTTCCTACATCTCGTTACTTCTTTATGTCTGCAACATCAAGATACCACATTCAAGAATATTATAGAAGTGGAATAACAAACGTCTCTACAGGGAGGTACATTCACTCCACCCCCCCCCCCTCCTCACTGTCGCCGCACCACCCTCGTCGATCACCAAACTACCACTTCAAGCTAACGCTCTCCCTATTGGTGAATCAGCGACTTCACGTGACTCCAGCGCCATCTGCTCGCCTATATATAGTCTTGCACAAGCAGTTAGAATAGAATATTCCTCAGAATATTCTTTGTGCTCTAGAGCTGACGCTTCTATCTAAGCATACATCCTGTATACTAAGTGGAGGTTTCAGCCAGCCAATATTATCAGCACCATTTACTAATTTTTTGTCTTGCTAATTATAGAGTAATGTAACCATTATTTTATTTTATATTGTGGTTTTGTCTGTGTTTTGATCAGCACTGTACATAGCCAAGGGATTATCTTTATTTTGTTTCTGTTTGTTTAAAGTAAATTAAAGTTTCATTATTTATAAGATTTGTTTTGCGTGTTTTTCCCTCTCACTTTACCACAGGATCACAACCGCCAAGCAGTCAACATTTTTTTTTCTCTTTTTTTTTCTAATGTGATTGGCATTTCCACCAGCCATAGAGAAGACTGCCTTAACACCTACACTTCTTGTCACAGTATTTATATATATATATATATATATATATATATATATATATATGTCGTACCTAATAGCCAGAACGCACTTCTTAGCCTACTATTCAAGGCCCGATTTGCCTAATAAGCCAAGTTTTCATGAATTAATTTTTTTTCGTCTACCTAACCTACCTAACCTAACCTAACCTAGCTTTTTTTGGCTACCTAACCTAACCTTACCTATAAATATAGGTTAGGTTAGGTTAGGTAGGGTTGGTTAGGTTCGGTCATATATCAACGTTAATTTTAACTCCAATAAAAAAAAATTGACCTCATACATAGAGAAAAGGGTTGCTTTATCATTTCATAAGAAAAAAATTATAGTAACTATATTAATTCAGGAAAACTTGGCTTATTAGGCAAATCGGGCCTTGAATAGTAGGCTGAGAAGTGAGTTCTGGCTACTAGGTACGACATATATATATATATATATATATATATATATTGAAGCTGTAGCAACTACCCTACCCGTGCTTGTTTGGTTGTGGCCTGCATTTTCAGTATTTTGTATCATTTATAATACATAAATTACGTTATACACAGGTGTCTGCTTATTATTCACCCAGACATATGCCCCAATAAATTTCTTGATAGAGTTATCTTTAAACGATTTTCAACAATTAAAAATCAAAAAGAAGCTATTTGTATTTAGTAAACTACCACAGTTCAGTCTATAGAGAAGTAAACTACAATTCAGTACACTTGAACATCAGCTCCCTTAGTAAAATGCAAAACAATAAGGCTGTAGATGGTCTCGTTCCAAGCATTAGGAAGCCAAGCCTCTATGATTGAAGCTACTGTCTTCAATCGTGAACACTGACTAACATCATCCAGTGTATGATGTTAATAAACATCATTACATGTACTCTCTCCGATATGTAGGCCCATAAGAAATATAAGGGATATCCTGGGAGCGTGAAGGCCATGAAATTGGGCCATCTCGCCTACACCAACGAGTAGGAAATTTTTAATAGAGGAATCAGTGCACTTTTAATCCGCAGTGTAGCCGTGTCCCATGGTGATGAGAACCCCATGAGTTTCATGTTCTCAAGCTAAGGTGTAGATTATTGTTCAAGCATATCTAGGTAATTTGTAGCCTCTACAGTTTTCATACAAAGAAATAGATCCAAGCCCACGGCTATGGGAGAGAGTATAGTCCTTTCTTCCAGCTCCTTTCAATTGTAGTATACTTTTTTTTTTTACTTCAGCCATCGCCTGGGTGATTGCTTTGCTGGAGATGATATCTGATATTTTCTTTAAAAAACGTATCTGGGCAGTAATTGCAGATTTACAATCCCACAGCCACAACACTAACGATGCATTGTCCGTCACTGTTGTTATTGTGCCCGTAATGGCTAGTTTGCGGCATAAAGAAGTTATGATGCATTGTGAGCCCGGACGACTGGGGGTAGAGGGACCCCCATCGTATTAGTTTTACATAAACCGCTATAAACAATCTCTTTTAACAAATATAAAGAAGTCATGATTTGTTATTATAAAAACTCTTTTAACAATTAATTTATTTTAGTTTCTAATTTGCTGAATAATTTGTGGACAACCCTGCATGAAAAGATTAATAAGCCAATTATTTAGTGGAGTACGTTTAAGTATAAGTATGAATTTTGGAGCATCTGAGCCAAGTAACCTTTTGTTGGAACCTTATATACCAAAGCCCTTTCCTTATGAGCTAATGTGGCATGCTTCAGATTTAATGTAAGAAAAAATTCTTTACTTATTTATGAAGGAGTGAGTTAAAGTGCCTTAATGTTAAGTTACAAACATTATTAATTTAAAATGTTCTATATTGTGTAGAATAATATAACAAAATTAAACTGTTTACATAGCTCATTGTAAAGTGAATTAAGGGAGGATTCTCTATACGCAGGAAGCAGACATCGCCATTGGACCGTTTGGTTTGACTGAGAGCCGCACGGAAGTAGTGGACTTTACTTGGCCAATCACCATACAGTATTCCGTGATCATTGGTGCTCGAGGACAGCCGGTGATAGATCCTTGGGGCTTCGTGGTGCCCCTTGAGCCCATGGTGTGGGTGGCCATCCTGACGACACTGTTGATGGTGTCTGTAATGATGGTGCTGGCGTCGTTATGTTCCTCAATCAGGACTGATATAGTGCACACCTGGGAGAAGGACACTTTTGACTTGAGTCGAATATTATTACAACAAGGTTAGTGAAATATGCTTTACATGTGCATTTTTGTAGCTAATTAAGTTTTATTAAACTAATTAGACTTAGGTTCTGGCAGCAATCCAACCTACCTTCATCCATTTGCACTAATTAATAACAGTTTTAAATATTACATAATTCAGTTTAATATTTTCGAAAATAATTAAAACATTTAATCCGCCAATACATTTGCATTTGTAGTTTGGATGTCGGCTGAACACAATGTTTTTTTCATTAAACATGTCTTATAAAAGGGGGCAATCAAATACTCAACAACATCAAATATATATATATGCTTATGTTGGTGTTCTCGCTTCAATAGTGAGTAGTAGTGAATGTCACGTTTATGACTGGCCGAGCTGGAATATATGTATGGTTCTAAACATGTTAATTCTGTTGATCATAATACTTCAGCTCTTGCTTGGAGTTCTTTAAAACTTAGTAGTTCTGTCGTCCTGTCAAGTGTGTGTGTGAATCTTTGTATCCTAAAAATAAGCATAGATTGTTTTAACGTTTTTTTAACTTAAAAATAATATTACTATTATTTTTACATTACAGCGACGTAACATTACGATACGTTGAAGCTGACTTTTATAAAAAATTTATTTTAATTGTTATAACTCAAAAAAGAATCTTTAAATCATGGTTTGAATGGGAAAAAGCTTCAAATATTTTAAGAAATATCAGTTTCTGAATATTATTTTTATTTAATAGTAAACTATTGGCAAATAATTGGTGCACCAATTCTGCTCTGATGTACGAGATCACCGTGGAAAGGTCCCATAAGTACCTTATACTGAGCCGGTCGGCCGAGCGGACAGCACGCTGGACTTGTGATCCTCTGGTCCTGGGTTCGATCCCAGGCGCCGGCGAGAAACAATGGGCAGAGTTTCTTTCACCCTATGCCCCTGTTTCCTAGCAGTAAAATAGGTACCTGGGTGTTAGTCAGCTCTCACGGGCTGCTTCCTGGGGGTGGAGGCCTGGTCGAGGACCGGGCCGCGGGGACACTAAAAAGCCCTGAAATCATCTCAAGATAACTGATTTTTTCTTTATATTTTTAAGAAAGTTTGAAGACATAATTATCCCAGAGTTTATGACTGCTTTTTTGAAAGAATTTAAAGATTTCAAATAATTTAAGACAATTGTTTTGCTTTTAGTAGCAGGATTCATTTCTTGGTTTAAAAGATAGATCATATTTAAACATGTTTCTTGTTTGAATTCTAAACATTTATATTGTATGCATAATAATTTTAAGACCAATTCTAAAATAGTACTTCTTAATTCATTAATTTAATAAAAGGTGGTCAATTCCCAAATCAGTTTACCGTAAACTAACTTTCACTAAATTTTTAAAACTTTTTAAGTCTTTTTTCTAAGCTATTTAAGATTAATTCATAAATAATTAATAAATTGACCTCTCAGTCATTGCACATGCTGTAAGTTACTTTATATTTAATAATATTTCTTGCATAAATCTTTAAACATAATGACTTTTTTTCAGAAAAAAACAATGTATATTCACTAATGTAAAATTTTTCCTAATTGTTAAAAGCCTTTAGTCCCTGAAGATACTGTCTATATATCTTTTGCTGATTTTGTAACGTGCATTATTATATTCTGAGACATACCTTATGTATCCTCAGTCGAGTTTTCAGTATTTGTCAACCAATAATTACACTATTTGGTACCTGTTTAAAACATTGATCTATGATTTGGTACAATGTATCTTTTTAAATATCGTAGCTGTATTGCTCAAAATGTGTGGAATATCTCTCAATACCTTAAAGAACGAATTTGTGAATATATGGGTATCTGTTACCAAATAGGATAGATTTTTATGCAATTTACACCCACATCAACACGAGATCACTGTAAAGGTATCAGTCACCTTTTCTCTTACAGAGATTTATCTGTATTGACTTCCATATTAGTCACCAATATCAAGTAATAGACTGAAATTAATAGAATGAGATCTGAGATGAACGAGTCTTACACTCCTTTGTTTATTGAATAATTTCGACTTCTAACAAAATAATTTTTTTTTTACTTCTCAACTGCTTTTGTTTTTTTATATTTTACCTGAATTTATCTGAGGGACACTGACACAAGTGGCCTATATGAGGACAAGAAGCAGGCGGCTTGTCGGCTGGTCCCCCCCTCCCCATCCGGCCCGTTGACGTCGTGAGGGGGCTTCGTGGACGGCTGCCGGAGTGTGATGCTCCGTGGGACAGTCCTCTGTCCTTTCAGCCTTGCACTCCTGCTGCTGTCTTCTCTAATTGTGCCGGATCGCTTTTCCTTTTCATTATGTTTCATTTCTCTCCCCCCTCTTCTCCTATCTGCTTGTCGTTTCCTGCCGACCTTTTGCTTGTTTTGGATTGTTTCTTTGGACTTCTTCTATTTTGACGCCCGGGTGCTTGAGGAGGCATACTCTTGCACCCGTAGAAGTGTAGTATCCAACGTCTCGAGCGAGGGGAACCTTTTATTGTCAATCCCCTTTCGTCGCTGAACCCGATCTCGACGGACTGACGGTTCATAAGGTGGCGTTTGTGGGGCGTATACTCACGACGCACCCCTAGGGGGCCCCGGCATGATCGGCGATAGCTTCCTGTTGGGTGTCCTGCCTCTAATTGTGGCTCCATGGTGGGTATGGGGGCACATTCGTGGATGAATTTATCACTCTTCGTACCTATGTCGTTGAATGCTTTAGTTGTACCCTCTCAGGCTCATGGGGTGGGTGACCAAGCCCCCGAGTCGGCCTGTCTTGGAAGACCAGGCTCTGTAGCCTCCGTTGCATTGGGCCCCGACCTTGCTCCTCCTTTGGCCTCTCTGACTCCTTCCCCTGGCTCCGCTCCCTCCTCTGTGGTTGGGTCGAGCCCCAAGCCCCAGTGGTGACTACCTCGTCCCCTGGCGCGGCTCCATCTCTAGTTGTAACTACTGCGCCTTTTAACCCCTCTCTCTCTCTGGGAGTTCTCAACGCCGTCCTCGTCACGGCCGCCCTCGCTCGATTCCTTCCAGTTCTGCTACCTATCAAGCCTTGTTTGGTCCTGCTTCGTGGGCCAAATATTTGATATCCTCCCTCTTGATTCTGCGCTTCCTGACGATTTCTTCCTCCATCGACATCTCGTTGATTCCGTGGATGCCTCCATTACTTTCAACCCCACTCGTCTCGGTACACGTGTCGTTGCTGCTCCTTCTCAGGATGCTGCTTCCCGCTTGGCTGCCTTATCCTGCCTTGGCGAGATCCCTGTTCGGGTCTCGAAGAACGCTCAGTTGAATGCCAGTGTTGGCACTATTCTGCTCCAGCCCCATGTTGCGACCGGTGTTCGGGACCTACGCGACTGCCACGACGATATTCGACATATCCTTGCTGCCCAGGGCCATTCTATTCTCCAGGTGGACACGTTTACTCGTCCCCCTCGTGGTAGTCGCCGTCAACCCCTCCGGGTTGTGAAGATTACCTTTGATGGTAGGACCCTTCCACCCTCTGTCATTCTTGCTGGTGCCAGGTGCTCTGTCCAGGAGTACATTCCTTCTCCTCGGCTCTGTAATAAGTGCTGGAGGTTTGGGCATGGTGCCCTCCGCTGCTCCGGGACTGTCTCTCTCTGTCCTTTGTGTGGTGGCGAAGGTCACTCTAAGTCGGAGTGCACTTCTCCCCAGGCTCGTTGCATCAACTGCGGTGAGGCCCATCCTACCTTCTCCCGTGCGTGTGTCCATTACAAGCTTGAGGCAGCCGTCCTCAACTTGAAGCACCGGGAGCGTTTATCTTTTCCTGAGGCGAGACGCCAGGTTCCCGGCTCCCGCCTTATGTTAATCTCTCTTATGCTCGCGTGTTGCGCTCTTCCTCTCCTCGTCCTTCCCACCTTCCTCAGACTCACAACCGTTTCCGGGCCTTGGACCCTGATATGCCCACTGCCCCTCCTCTGTTCCTTTGGGTTCTGTCCCGAAGGATCCACCTCCTGGTCCTCTGTCTGGGGTTCCCCTTCTTTCTATCCGGTCTGTCTTGTCTCCTGTGTCTTCTTCCTCGTCTCCCTCCGTTCTTCCTTCCCATCCATCTCCTCCGTCTATTGACTCTCCCCGCCGCCTGTCAGTGCGGGCTGATGTCCATCTCTCTCCTAACGACCGTCGTGTGTGCTCTTGTTCAGCTTCTCCTGTTGAGACGCTAGAATCCGTTGCCCAGTAAGTAGTTGCTGGGACACCTGTCTCTTTAAGTCAGAAGCGTAAGCCTGGCTCCTCTCCTTCCTCCTCCCCGGCGGGTAAGAAGGTTTCACTTTCTTCCTCGGCCCCTACTTCTGCCTCTCTCGCTCCTTCCCCTCCCATTTCGGTGGTTGCGTCACCTGTTCCTGCTATGGAGGTTTCTTTGGTCCCTGCTTCCCTCTCCGTTGCTGCCCTTGCTGAGATGCGCTCCCCTCTTTCTACCCCCCCTCTTCCTGCTGCTGTCCTTGACTGCTCCCTTCCGTTGTCTCCTCCTCTTCCTCCTCCGGACCCCGCCCGCCCACCTCTGGTCTGTTCTCCCGCCTCCTTCCCTCCATCTTTGCTCAGTTTACCCATGCCCCCTAACCCTGACTTTGCTGACCCTGATATTCTTTAATGTGCTCTGTTGCTCTTTCGCCTGTGTTTCTTCCTTCTCTGTTTTTGTCCTTTCTCTTCTCGTCGATGTCTCTTCTTCAATGGAACGTTCGAGGTTATTACGCCAATTTCCTCGAACTCCAACTTCTGATTTCGCGCTTTTCGCCCCTTTGTGTCTGTCTCCAGGAGCCGATGCTTGGTGCTCGTCCTGGTCGTTTTCGTGGCTATTCCTTTCTCACCCCCCCCCCCCCCAGTCGTTGCTGGGGCTTCTAATTCTTCTGCTCTCTTGATTCGTGCTGATGTTCCCTTTGTTCCTTTACTTTTTCCTTCGCCTCTCCATTGTTCTGCTGCTCGTATATTTGTGGGGAAATGGTACACAGTTTGTTCCATTTATCTCCCCCCGAGTGTCCCGCTTTCTCTTCCAGATTTGAAAC